TTATTAAATTACTCGAACTAGAATTGAACTATTTTGAGGCATAAGGATGATTTCAAAATAATAAAATAAATATTGCGACGTAAATAAAATAATTTTGAAAATTATATTATAGCTATTATTATTAATTTTTAACTATAATTTTGAAAATTATTTTATTACTTTAACGATAATAATAATACTAAAGTACTTAATGATATTAGCACTTATGGTTTATCTTTACTAGTCATATACAATAAAATAATAATAATAATGATATAAAATTAACTGTAATGCAGCATTTAAAAGTGTAATCTCAATAACATCCATATTTTTCATCATCATATTAATTATTCACAATGTAATAAAAATTTACCATAGAAAAGAATAATATAATAACAAAATTAATTGTAATATTAAGTAGTTGTTTAAATAATGAATATTTTTAATCATATTTTTAAAAATTTTTTAAATAATCTAATACAGTAATTAATTAATTCATCTATTACAGTAGAAATATACCATGTAACCCATATACAAGTATACTATACATAGTAGAATCAACTGTATTCTATTTCAAAGGCAAATATTTCCATTAATCAATGTACATATCTCAATGGAAGATTAAGAAAATAATATCAAACGTCTCTATTAATCAATACACTAATTATATTATATTACAATATATTAATTAATAATTCAAGATTATTATCTCTTTCTTTAACCAAATTAAATTATTATTCAGCAAAATATAAATTAATATTAATCTATAATAAAACCAACACAATTCCCGTGAAAATTACCTGTAAATGTATATAGCCCGCCTAATCTAAGATGAACATACATTTTCTCAAGCAAAAATAAATGATCGTATAATAATCTTTCTCCAAAAAAAGTTATTTCAAATCTACTATAAGAAAGAGGCTTAAACCTATCGTATAATAAATAAAAATTCTCTGTCTCGAATAACGGATTAAAGAAAAATTTGGTCGCAAGCTGCTTCAACGGTAATCGAAAACTAACTCTAAAGATAAGGGATACCCTAATGGTTCTGCTCAATAGCTAAAGGAACTAGCTAACAGAAAATTTTCAATGAGTAGACATTTTCAACAACTATGTTACGAGTGACGGCAAATGCCACGATTTGCTTCTAGAACGTTTCACAGAGGCACTTCCATCCTAGAGGTATACCTTTCCCCTGCATCTACGGTCCTGTGCCCGGTGGTGGTCCGTCCTGGTCAGGGCCGGTGAGCACAACAGCCTTCTCTAACCTAGAGCTCGTGCACAACCGAGAGCTCCGACAACGCAAGAACGATACTCGTCTCCTTTCACTTGCACAAACAAGCCAAACATCTCTTCTATCTTATTTACTTCGTTAATGACACACCTCCATTGTGTTTTCTGTATTTTGTCGTTTTATTAGAATGTACCATTGAACATTTAATTGACGCAATTACGACAAGGGCATTTGTCACATTTCTAGTTAAACGATGATATTAAAGAGGCATATAGTAATAGTATAGTATATGGTATAGTATATGGTACAATACATAATATAATACACGACATAGAACATAATATAATATACAATATAACATGTGACACAGTATATAGTGTAGTATATATATAGTATAGTATAGTATATAGTATAGTATATAGTATAGTATATATATAGTATATAGTATAGTATATATATAGTATATAGTATAGTATATATATAGTATAATATATAGTATAGTATATATATAGTATAATATATAGTATAGTATATATATAGTATAGTATATAGTATAGTATGTAGTACAGTATACAGTATAGTATATAGTATAATATGCAACATAGCATATATTACAGTATATAGTATAGCATATACAGTAAATATCAAGAGGCATATAATGATAGTACTGTATATCAACAATTAATTAGTTTAATTATGAAATTTTAATATTTAATATATTGTTTATCCTAAGAGGATTCATGTTATCATCGTGTTAGTTTACGTAATCATAATTTATTTATAATAATGTTTGCATCGAACATGGGAACTTTATTTGCTAGGGATGTTTATTTGGCGCGTAGTTTGTATTATCATAAACTTACAATGATACAAAATATATTTGGTTACATTTGCGAAAAAATATTTAATGAGTCGCTAGCTCCAGTCTTTCTTTGGCACAAATACTTCTAATGCACAAAAATTAGGGGATAGAAAAGAAAAAAACAAATGAAACGGTGAGAAAAAAGCAACATTTGTCACGAGAAATTACTTCAATCGATGCAACATTAATTCGTGTATTTTTTTCATTAATAGTAATTTATTATAGTAATAAAATTTTTGATTATAATAAAATGGAAAAATGTATTAGTAAATTAAAAAAAGGTGAAAGTAAGGAGTTTGTAGCGAATCATAAAATTAAGAAGTTTAGTATAATAAAAGAAATACGTTTTTCAATTCTTCAGGGAGAAATTTTTTAGTTTTTCGTATGATAAGGACACTCGTCACGAGAATGGCGATGGCGACTATATTCGTCATAAAAAGTAAAACACTTTTCGTTGTACGAACTGAAAAATATGTTTATGCAATACATTACCTTGATAGTAAACATTTCCTCGTGTCGAGTATACTCACCGAACAAATTATCAAACTGATCACCTTTTGCCATAAGCGGTTTAGTATCTTTTCGCAATTGAGAAACCAAAATGGGCCCAATAGAACAAACTTACTCGCATTAGATTATATATGAAATATTTTTTAGGATCATCGACAGTTTTGAAAATTTTTGAATGGACCGACTAAAATAGGTCACCCTGTATATTCTTGAGAATTTCCCCGACCTAACTCGCGTAACAAAATAAACTAGGTTAGTTTGTTTAATAAAAAGATACTCGAATGGATTGATTTAAATGGATCACTCTGTGTTATTTTTTAAAAATTTTCTACCTTAACTTGCTTAATTAACTAAACTAAATTGATTTGTTTAATAAAATCATTTCGAATAATGTTACATTGCCACTGATGATGTGGTTCTTATTTTGAAAATTTTCATTGTCATGTTTCATTACGTCACGTGACTATCATAAAATATCTTTATGCAATTTATGACTTTGTTGACAGTCAACACTGTTGGACTCTGCAGAGCAGTTGTGAGAGAAATCTTTGTGCAATTTAATCCCATTTTAATTTCGTCCCTTATTAAATTAAATTTTATTCAATTCTTGGTTGTATTTTGTTAATAATTATAAATAATTTTCAGGGTTTCGTTACTATACTGCTTTATTATTCTTATCAAAATATAACGTCTTTTATTTTCTACATGTTTATGTATTAATTTTATTTCTTATATATAGTTAAATTTTCAACATTGAACAATTCATATCCGTTAAATGGAGACGATCCTCGTGGTTCAAAAATTGATTTTGTATTTTGGAACGAATCTACGTGATTTTGCAATTGCACTTACTTCCACTGATAATATCACTCGTTTAATACTATTTTCATCCCCTATTACCTGCAAGTTTCACCTATACCTTTTTAAAGAAAATTATATTAATTGAATTAATTAAAGAAAATTAAATTAATTAAATTAATTAAAGAAAATTAAGAAAATTAAATTACTTATATTAATTAAGCAAAAATATTATACTTCCTTCACACTTAAATTTGATTTTATATACTAACATTGAATTTTCATTATTCGCATGAAATTATTGAATTTTTATTGTTAACGTTAAGTTTTAATCATTTGTATTATATACCTAGCAAATAACTTAAATTTTTAACTTTTAAGAAAAATTTAATTTATCACTGCTATTTATTAATACAAATATAAATTATATGCGATGTTGGTTAATTTTATATAATTCGATTAAATTAAAAATATAAAACATACAATTACGAAATTTTTCATCTAATATAAAATATAAAATTTATTTAACAGTAATTTATAAGCACTGTAAAGGATGTACACTTTGGAAATATCAAATGCAATTAAAAACCGTACGATAAAAAATATCTTATCTCATTCGTTTCATATATATAAATTCAATTAAAATTTTTTTCCTGTTATTCAACTTAATATCTGACAAAAATTATAATAAATTAACAAAATTCCTTGACGTATCAAAAGACGACACAAAATGGCGTATAATAATAACGTTAAAAAAAAAACCGGCGTTAAAATGTCTCAAAATTATTTCTTATAAAACTGCGTAGAATTAAACATTTTTTAAAGAATTTCTTCGAATCATAATTTTAATTAATAACATCTTCGTATACTAAAAATTCTTAACACGTTAATACGTACATTTTAATTAAAAATTTTTGATTAACATTTCGCTGACATTTAATTGACATTTTATATAAAATAAAAAGCAGGGGATAAAGATTAGATGGATCAAAGATTAAGAATTTTCAAGGAACATTCTACAAAAATAATTTAAAATAATTATAGGTACAGCGATTTTACAATGAACATTAAGGAAGCAGAGTTGATATAAAAGGAGGATTTCTGGTATAGTGCGCCTACGAACTCGCGAGCATTGTACAACAATTAGCTCAGAGATGAGCTGGACTCGGTCACTGTTGCGTTTCATATGAGCGAAAAAGAATATTTTTCATGACATGTAGTAACGTAATATAGATTGTTATTCGAATTTAATCCAGAATAAGATTTAATCCAAAAATATAATTTGAGAATCAATGTTATGCTTTATGCAACGAGAAATTACGTTTGGTGTTAAAGAAGGATTCAAATTTTTTTCTGTTGTTACTTGCTTTTGCACAATTCTATATTAGAAATTTAATTAAAAATTATCGTTTAAAAAATAACGGTTAGTATACATTGTTGACAGACAACTAATTTATCTTTCAATGTTAACTCCTGTGCTATAAGAAAGTTCTATAAAATGAAAAAGCGCGAAGATATTAAATGCCAGAATACGATGTAAGAATCAGGTAGATTATGATAACCACGTGTGTTTGATGTATGTAACACCATAATACAGATACAGAGAAATTATGTTACCTCGTAAGTCGTTATCAGCCGAAGTATAATCCAAAATGCAGGAAAGAAGTGCCACACTAAACTTCACTACTATTGATAAATTACCCATTTTGAGTCGACATAATTTCTATGTCGGTACAAAAGTCACAAAACTTCATGAAAACTCGAGCACCATACGATCACTGCACAACACATCCACCTTCCACCGCAGTCAGTAGCATACTGAAGAAACGAACCCTACTAGAAAGTGGGAAGACTTTCTCGTTCCCTGACCAATGACAGGAAGATTAAAACCATTGATATATTGAGGATAAGACATACAACATTGCATGCTTTTCTTTGAATTTCAAGATGGCGAATTAAGCGCGATGTATGATTTAGTACTTCTATATTCAAGTTTTATTTTACATATTAGGAAAAACTTTATTTTACATGTTTTAACTTGGAACACAACTCCTATACACACGTATTCTACCATCATTTTGGGATCCTATAACAAACATGACAATCTGTTTAATTCGTATTTATATCGAAAATAATTTAATTATAAATAATTATAAATATTATTCGTACAAAATATTTATTTCAAAAATACCAAGAAAAAGACCTAAAAACAGTATAAAATATATAATTCACTGTATGCTAAGTATCAAAACATAATTTATAATTTTCGGATTCACTTTACAACAAAAATGTTTTATAAGCACTTGATTATATGATTATTATAGTTACAGCCAGTAACTGTAACAATACGAACATATTCAAATCATAACGCATATACAGTCTTAAATAATATAAAAAATTAAATAAAATGGGTTTATTTTATTTTTATATATTTTTATTAAAAGAATATTATCCGATAGTAACAAAACATAAAATAATTTCTATTATGCATTATAGTTCTATGAATAATTATAATTTAAATATCAAAATAAGAATAAATAATTAAAAATTAAAACAAAGTATTTTTACGATTCACACTATAAATTATTGAGATGTAACAATTTTTTACATAAATGTTTAAAAATCTCTTTGGAAAACAAATATGTTGTGTTACAAAAATACCAGCTTTAAAACATATTTCAAATATTTAAAAAAAATAAAATATTGAAAATTATTTAATTTTACATGTTTGTAGCATATATTAACATGTACATACATATAACAAATTTCATATCACAAAAATCATCTAGACAGAATTAAACGATTATATTTTTACCCACTTTTTCCTTTCCTCTTATTAAAAAAGTTTCCTTCGTAGTTTATTAGTAAATTTTCGAATTATACTCTTGGGTAAATTCCTGTCCTTAAATTATTTCTTATCGAAATAAAATTTACGAATAAAAATGTTTCAAATTCAATGATTAACAGTCAATGACGACATTATTATATTATATATAAAATAGAGTAACTATACCATTTTGGTAAACGCCGTACCTGAAATTATACATTAGTGCAATACACAAAAAGAACTGTAATTCATTGGTACCATCGCAATATAAAAGTGCATATTTTGGTTATGGATTTACTGTATTTAAATATATTTACAAAAGTTCATTTCATTATGTTTTATAATAAAGAAAATTAAATATTATCGATTAAAATAATACTATCCATTTTGTGTCATGTACATAAAAATTTTCATTACGCAATAAAAAGTTGCGTATTTTTTGTACGTAATTTTTCCTTGTTTTGTTTTGATTAATGGAGTTAAAGTTACTACAAGAATTCCATAATATTCCATCAATTTTTTTTAATTTTGTACATTCACGTAATATTTGAAGGGCTATTTTGAAATTGTCTATATTTATTCTGACTTGTGACTTATATCATGTTTTATTATTCATTATATTTATATTACACAAAGATGTATACTTAGCTGTATTATTGTATCGATTTCAAATACATTCCGCGAATTTTGTTCTACTATTCAGTATTACTAAATAGATTAAAACCGATGATTTTTGCATCGATTATTAATATTAAATCAGGTCTCAGAAAATGTGTAAAATTACAGTTGGCTCCCAAAGTAATATAAAAGTAAGAAAAGAAAGAGGAGCTAACAGAAAGGAAAAAGAAATATTCGAAACTGAATTAGGTTTAAGAAATACGAAGGCAAGGAATAAAAATACCTATTGATTTTTTAACATTACATAATTGTTTTTGCTACTTTCAATTCGCGAACATTACTACCGTTACCTTTCTCACCATATATCATGATGTGACAATTTTATTTTACAGATCTATATTTTATACAAATTACTTAGGCATTGTGATATTCAAATTTTTTACGCATCATTACGTCGGTGCTTTAAATTATCTTTTCCGCAATTTACAAGCCAAATAAATTCAGCATTTATACAAGACAGATCATAAAACATCTTTCTTCCATGTCACTTTCAAAATTTATTAACTGTTAATAAACTATGCGTACAAAGAGAATTCTAAAATCTCTAAAATTTCTGATAATATCCGGATTTATATTTTTTCACAAATAGACTAAATATGTATACAATACTTCACTGGCTTATCATTAAACTGAACTGTACAAGAGTATGTAGATAATGCTCTATGTACGCAAAGTTAGATTTAAAGGAAGAATATACTGGAATTATTCATCACACCATTCTGTCCAGAAATTTTTTTGTATCACAAGTATTAATATTACAGTTATTCATCTAAGATAGAATTTTGTTTCCCTTTCATACACAATTGTATAATATAAGCGTTTTGTTTACAATTCAATTTTTCTTATTAAACTCAGTAGCAGTATTTTTTGGCTGTTTGTTTCTTTGTTTCTATTTTACAAAGACTGCCCTTCACAAAAAAGTAATGAGCTATGTCTTGAGGAGTTTAAGAAAAACCCAAATACATTTACTTTTAAGTAAACTGTTTGTCATCTTACATTAAAACAGATATACTATAGTTCTAAATAAAATGCTTTTTTACGCTCTTCGATTCTTTTTACACGACATTTGTTACTATATATGGTATATATGTACAAAGAATCCTTTTCCTTCGTCAACTTATTTTCTGTATCTATATTACTAACGTTTAAAAATGATTACTCTTGTTTTGCCATACTCTGTGTTGTGGGAGGAGGAGTGACTGGGGGGGGGGGGGGGCGCTCGCTCGCGTGTGTAATTTCTTTTTGTCTACTCAAATTAATGTTATGTACATTTTATTCTATATATTTTTATACAATTTTCCTGCCTTTTACTACTTCTCCCTGATACACGAAGAGAATCAATATTATCAATATTCTTACATTTGTTATTACAAAAACTTGCATTTTTTATATTCTTACAAAATTTGATGAAAATGATAGTGACAATAATGACGGCGTAAATGATTACAATAATAGTAATATGAAAAAATAATATAAATCAGTAATAATTACCATAAATTTTATAATAATAAGTAGCGATTAATTTAATCACTAAATTGTATATGTACTATTAAATCTTAATCACTGGTTTCACACTCATAAATTATAGTATACAATGAAGTTATAATTGTCACATGCCAGAAAAAGAGAAGTTAATATTTCTCGAAGAAATGTTCATTTCCTTCTTAGAAATATTATATTAGCAACAATAATTACAATTATTACAAGTGTCCTCTTTTTAAGTAAACATGTGAGCTCGTTCTCTTTAAGTAGGAAAATGATTTCAACATATAGCTATAAAATAGATAAGGTTAAGAAATAAAGGGAAATATTATATGAGCGAAAATCTATTTATTTACACCTACATGAGATTTATATGTCACAATTAATCTTCAAAAAATTATAATAGAAATAAGTATTATTACACTAAATGTACTTTCCCGCAATAAAGAACATAACTACACATGCTTACTAAAATAGTATGATTTTCAAAAACAGAAAAATGTCTTGCAATATCATTGAAATTGTATAATAATATAATAGTCATTTTTCACATAAGAACTTTGTTATTTACAGTTGATTTCTTACATTCACAGGAGAACACTTGTTTATATATTTCTTATCCACACTTCTTTCGAAACGTGTCAAGAGTGTTCAAATTCCATCAATTTAATTGATTAATAATCCATCCCATTTTATATACACACATACAACTTAGAAGAAATTCAGTACTTTTTCATTTCTTTGCCGAATTCTGATTTTTGTTTAAATTTTGGTACAATATGCCCCATATTTTATTCCTGCGTACATGATGTTTTAGGAAAATATTTGTAATGTTTTCAAATTTCATAAGTATTAGTAAAAAAAGCAAATACTTTTTTTGATTAACATTGTTCCTCAGCAACGATTCGTCTATACTACAAATTTTAAATTAAAAAATCTTCCTTTTACATTAGGTCGAAAAGGCCACTGTTCAAGGCCACAGGCCAAGAAAATTAATTAAATTTAATCAACGAGAAGAACTTCCATTTCTTCATTTCCGTTAATTTCCATTTTCATTTGTAATTCCTAAGACAGTAACAGCATTCTCGTTTGAACATCTTGTACATTGGAAGATATTTCTGTCGAGCATATTGATATTTTGTGTATGCAAATTACCATATGTCTGTCCTTTATACATTTGACATTTATACTTTCACACTTCAAACACACTTATGCATCGAATGATGCAAAGCGTAATTTCAAAACGTCTCAAAATTGTTAAATGCTGAAAAATATAAATTAATTATTAGACTTGATTAAAATTTCAACTTTTCTCAACAAAAATATTGATTATGTATAATACACAGTGAACAAGATGTTAAAGTGTTAAATATTTCTGATAGTATATATGAATATACAAAGATGTTTTGTTTTACGCTTTGTTACTTTTAACATACTTCTTTTACAAACAAATTTGAATATAATTTTCTATAAGTATTAGTCATCATTCGGTGCTCCAAATTAAAGCCATACATTGTGAAATAGTGGATATAATTTATTCCATGGTAGCCCATACTGGAAAACTCACCGAAGTTTCACGTAACCCGATGAAGGTTGCACTTCGGTATATACTGATTAGTATCCAAGTGCCAACCTTTCGTTAATGCACAGGGATAATGTGTAACGGCTTTACAACCGCGTTTAACGCAACCAATGTTTGCTCCTGTTAAACCACAAGAGTCACATGTCGATTTTGCTGCATCCCATACAGCTTCTTGCAAACCAGTTACCCTTCCACCTGTAATATAAATTCATTTTTTCTTCAGAA